TTATTAAAGACGGCCCTGGAGATAGCAGTAAATTGTATACTTATGATTGTTGGGAGTTGTCCTCCAAGGAACAGTTAATTTGTGTCCGAAGGATGATTAACATCAAACAGTCCGGTTTCCAGTAAATAAGGAGTGAGCAGGTAAATCCATCCATAAATTTGTCTACATGGTTATTATTGTCATCTCAGCCCAGAGCTGCTATTAGGACATGGATGTCCTCAGCATTGGATAAGGCTGGACACTGCACCCCTGTACATCGCCCTTCAATTTAAATTTTTTTTTTTTAATGCTGCCTGAAAAATAGGGTAGAAGCAAACCAAATTTGGTACACAGAAACAAGCAGGGCCGGCGCTTCCTATAAGGCGAACTAGGCAGCCGCCTAGGGCGCCATATAGGAGGGGGCGCCCTGCGCCCCCATCGCCGGCCCTTTAAATGCCACAGCCGCCTGAGCGCTCTGTAGTGAGTGCTCAGACGGCTGCCGCACTGCCTCACCTCCCCTTCCATGTAGCGTGGCCGAGCTCCTCTGCGGTCCGCGACCCGGCCGGACTAACAGGAAGTCAGTCCCGCCGGGTCGCGGACCGGAGCGGAGCTCGGCCACACTACAGGGCGGGGGAGGTGAGGAGAAGATTACGGGGGAGAAGATTGCAGGAGTGGGGGAGGAGAAGGTTAAAATGGGAGTGAGAAAAATTAGGGGAGTGGAGAAAACTAAGGGGAGGAGAAGGCTACAGGGAAGGAGGGGGGAGGGAGAAGATTGAGTGGAGGGGAGAAGAAGAAGATTGGAGGGAGGGAGGCGGAGAAGATTGGAGGAGGGGGAGAAGAAGAAGATTGAGGAGGGGGGAGGAGAAGATTGAAGGAGGGGGAAGCATGAAGATTACAGGAGGGAGGGTGAGAAGAAGAGAAGATTATGGGGGGGAGAAGAAGAGAATATTATGGGGGGAGAAGAGAAGATTATAGGGGGGATAAGAAGAGAAGATTACGAAGGAGAAGAAGAGATTACAGGAGGGA